ATTTGATATTTCTCCAGCACAAATGAAACCACACTCCAGTTGAAGGTACTAACAGTGTCAAGATTCAAAACATACAAATAAATTTAAAAATTGAACTTGCATTTATAAATGACTGATCTAAAAGCCTGTTTTAGCCTCTGGAACCTGTTCAGTTTTATGTAATACAGAAATCCTGAGTATGTATCTACAGTGACCTAACTGGATGATTCTTAACTGTGTCTTAATGAAAATATCAACAGAGGATCCTGTGGCACCTTTAAGACTAACAGAAGTATTGGGAGCATAAGCTTTCGTGGGTAAGAACCTCACTTCTTCAGTCTTGCATCTGAAGAAGTGAGGTTCTTACCCACGAAAGCTTATGCTCCCAATACTTCTGTTAGTCTTAAAGGTGCCACAGGACCCTCTGTTGCTTTTTACAGATTCAGACTAACACGGCTACCCCTCTGATTAATGAAAATATGACACTGTATGTCTTAAATGGTATTAAGAAAACTTGTTATTTTCAAGGCCATACTCAAATATTAAGGAAGTTAGGAAAGAGGCCTGTTCTAAGGCTGTAACAACCTGGCAGGATTAAAAGCACTGCAGGAATTGTAAAAAAAAAAAAAAAAAGTCCCAGGGGTCCATAGACTAATTGAAACATTTGTATTTTCTGATTGAGAAGCAGAGCTATGTACAATGACTTCCTCTGATTTCTATCAAGAGCAACTGAGATGTCTGACTGACGTTACACTGAAAATAAAACTGATCAGCTTTGTGAGAGAGTGAAGGAGATCAGCACTCAACAGGTCTCTTCTCCCAGAAACTGCTCTCTCCTGGCTCTCAGCTGGGTGACAAGGAGCCACATGAAGAGCTTTGAGAGCCGCCTGGTCCCGGGGCTGCTTGTACTGCTGCTGGGGCGCTAATGGGCACACAGGCTCTCAGGCACCCAGCTGCAGGGGGCATTTGGGAACCTCATTAGACTCGCTCTGTGCAGAGGTGCAGAGCAATGCAGACAGCTCTCTGGCTCTGGGACACGGAGCAGCAGCGGCCAGCAGCCACCCACACAGCCGGGGAATTTACATTTCCCGGGGCCCAGGGGGGAGCTGGTGATCCAATTCCTGGAGGACAGCCCTGTCAGCCAACAGCAACTTCTTACTCAGACCCCAGCTAAGGGCTGCGGATTCCTCTGAGCGCAGAGCAACAGTTCGTTTTCCTGTTTGCACTCCACTGTGGTAGGAAACGGAGGGGGAGAAGCCCCGGCCCGCCCTCCCTAAATGGTGCCCCAGCTGTTCCAGTCTATGGGGATGTGGAAAACGACTACATTGGCAACAGACCAGCAGGGAGTGGGAGGGGGAATGGGGACGTTCAGGTAGGGAAAGCCAGTTCCCTAAGGGGATCACTTCAAACCTACTTGTGCTGCCGCACGCTCTGGCTTGAAGTGGTTTCCATCATATACAGGGTTTACAGTTTGTTCAATGGCTCTCAGCCCCCCCCCATGTAAAAACTGTTCCAGCACCTCTGTTTGTTACCATTTGGATACTAATGACATGAAGCCATGTTTACACAGGGACAGAAAAGTTAAGGCACGTCACCTTCAGATGTGAAGTCAACCTCGTGGCGGAGGGTTTTGTGTGTCTCATCCTGAAGTTAAATGGCCTAGGAGGAGAATTTAAGTTATGGCAAACTAAGGCTGAGGGGGGATATGATTGCTCTCTTTAAATATATCAAAGGGATAAATACCAGGGAGGGAGAGGAATTATTTCAGCTCAGTACTAATGTGGACACGAGAACGAATGGATATAAACTGGCCGTGGGGAAATTTAGACTTGAAATTAGACGAAGATTTCTAACCGTCAGAGGGGTGAAATTTTGGAACAGCCTTCCGAGGGAAATGGTGGGGGCGAAAGACCTCTCTGGCTTCAAGATTAGGCTAGATAAGTTTATGGAGGGAATGGTTTGATGGGATAACGTGATTTTAATCAATTAGGCAATAACGGCCATCGCTGGTAAAATTAGGGTCTGGCTAGAGAATCTTGCCTGTATGCTCGGGGTTCTGCTGATCGCCATATTTGGGGTCGGGAAGGAATTTTCCTCCAGGGTAGATTGGCAGTAGCCCTGGAGGTTTTTCGCCTTCCTCCGCAGCATAGGGCAGGGGTCGCAAGCTGGAAGATTCTCTGCAACTTGAAGTCTTTAGATCATGATCTGGAGACTTCAACAGCAGAGTTAAGGGAAAGTGGGGGGGTCAGCTTTTGTGTCCTGCATCATGCGGGAGGTCAGACTAGATGACCATATTGGTCCCTTCTGACCTTAAAGTCTATGAGTCTATGAGTCTATAAGGCCACTTAACACTTAACTCCTGCTTTCTCTTAGGAGTAAACGTGCTTTAACTTAAGGCTTGTCCACACGGTGCTGCAGTGCATAAATGATAGAGCACAGTAACATGTTACACTCTAACTGCTGGCACTAACTAAATGTGCTGTATAGTCCCATTTCGAAAAGGACTATGTTAATGCATGGTGGATGCCTTTTAGTTCACGCCAGCCAGGTCTACATGGGGCAGTCAGAACTCTACAGGTCAGCACGGGCTACAATTCATGGCCCTTGGTGCCAGGTAGAGAAGCCCCACACACACCGACTTCACCCTTCAGTTGATTGGCCTTAACTTTCCAAGTGTCCAAACCCTATGCAAGGCAGCCTCAGAAAAGCAGCTAAACCTTCCCATTCCAACAGACATACCTGAAACCTTCCCAGTGCTCCAACCCCCTAATCTCAGAAATGCATCAGGCTTGGTTTGGCTTGGCGACCTGTACAAACATCTTACATCAGGGGTGGGCAAACTTTTTGGCCTGAGGGCCACATTGGGGTTCCGAAACTGTATGGAGGGCCGGGTAGGGAAGGCTGTGCCTCCCCAAACAGCCTGGCCCCCACCCTCTATCCGCCCCTCAGACTTCCCGCCCCTTGACTGCTCCCCTCAGAACCCCCGATCCATCCAACCCCTCCTGTTCCTTGTCCCCTGACCGCCCCTTCCCAAGACCCCCCACCCCAACCGCTCCCTGGGACCCCACCCCCTATCCAACCCCTCCTGCTCCCTGTCCCCTGACTGCCCTGCCCCATATCCACAACCCCACCCCCTGACAGGCCCCCCGGGACTCCCACACCTTCCAACAACCCCTGCTCCCTGTCCCCTGACTGCCCCCCGGGACCCCCTGCACCTTATCCAACCCTCCCGCTCCCCACCCCCTTACCATGCCACTCAGAGCACAGGACTGGCAGCCACGCCACCCGGCCGGAGCCAGCCCTCCCGCCGCGCAGTCTAGAGCACCGGGGCAGGCCGGCGGCTCTTGCAGCCGCGCTGCCCAGGAGGAGCTCGCAGCCCCATCGCCCAGAGCGTTGGCAGCACGGTGAGCTGAGGCTGCAGGGAAGGGGGGACAGTAGGGGAGGGGCTGGGGGCTAGCCTCCCCGGCCGGGAGCTCAAGGGCCGGGCAGGACAGTCCCGTGGACCGGATGTGGCCTGTGGGCCGCAGTTTGCCCACCTCTGTCCTACATGTATATGTATATAACACCTTCGCCCCAGGTACCATGAACATAAGCTGATATGCAAACTTTGAGGAGAGATCACTTATCCACCATGAAAATCCAGCCACTGCTGGGGTGGAACGTGGCAGCCCTTGAGTTTATCATCATTATGCAGGTCCAGAGAACACAATCGTTTACAACAGGAAGACAGAGATAACAGGAGATAAAACCACTACAGCAGAGCACAGCATGGCTACGTTCACATTAGCAGTAACACTGCCTGCGGGTGGTACCGTGGCCTACTGGGTATGTAAGGCACTGGGTTGCCTTGCTCAGCACCCAGGGACCCTAGCGGCTCTGGTCAGCACCGTGGACCGGGACCTTAAAAGTCCCATCGGTGGTGCTGCCCAACTAAAGCAGGCTAGTGCCTACCTGTCGCGACACCACGCTGCGCCCAGGAAGCGGCCAGCAGCGGGTCCGGCTTCTAGGCAGGGGGGTGATAGGACTCCACACGTTGCCATTGCCCCAAGCACCAGCTCCGCACTGGTTCCTGGCCAATGGGAGCTGCAGGCAAGAGCCATGCGGAGATGCTTGCACGCCTCTGCCTAGGAGCCAGACCTGTTGCTGGCCGCTTCCGGGGCGCAGTGCGTTCCGCAGTGCCAGGACAGGCAGGAAGCCTGCCTCTGCACCCCAGCTGCGCCACTGACCGGGAGCCTCCGGAGGTAAATCCGTGCCCCAACCCTGCGCCCCTCCAAATCCAGAACCCCTTCCTGCACCCCAAACTCATCCCCACCACACCCCAGAGCCTGCACCCCCAGCCCAGAGCTCTGACCCCCTCCCACACCCCAACCCCCTGCCCCAGCCCTGAGCCCCTCCCACACCCCAAACCCCTCATCCCCAACTCCGTTGGGTTGTGGGCATCAACAATTTTCTTCAACTGGGTCCCCCCAAAAAACAGTTTGAAAACCACCAAGCTAGTGTAGATGAGCCTCCAGTGTCTACCCCTGCCCATAGCAGCTCTTACTCCAGTCCTCTCTGAGACATTGCCTTGGGGGCAAAACTTACTGCCAGCTGGGGCAAATACTGCCCCCACCAACACCCGGGCAGGCAAGGGGCATTCTCCCCTTCTGTCCAGGGCTGTCCACACTAGGGGTAAGGAAAGGTCTCCCTCGCCTCTCTCCAGCTGCGGCCCAGATGTGCTTCTTACCCTTGCACATCTGGAGAGACTCTCGGGGCTTGTCTACACTAGGTGGAGGTGCAGCCGGGGCAGGAATTACCGCAGTGGCTCCTGTCCCACCTGCAGCGCTTGCACCCCCTTAGCTGGGGGGGCACGGACAGCTGGGTACCCCCGCCCCAGCTCCCCGCCGCCCGCTCTTTGCAGCCGAGCTGCCCCCTAGGCGCCCTGCGGCCGCACGTGTCTCTCCGCGCGCCCGCCAGGCGGGAAGGCTCCGGCTGCGTGGCCCGGGGAGGCGGGGGGGGGGGCGCCGGAGCGGGACACTCACCGCACGCGGCAGCTGCTCTCCTGGACAGGGTCCCAAAGGGCTGCGCGCCTCATCCGATCCGAATCTGCCGCGGAACCGTTGCTGGCAGAGCCGCGCAGGCGCAGTAACAGCGGCCGAAGCGGCGGCCCAGCCCCTTCCCACCCCCAGCTCAGCTACCAGCTGTGGCGGCTCCACGTGGGACGGAAGGGAAGGGGGCGGGGCGGGGCGTCTATGGTACTCGCAGCTGGGGGCACAGCACAGAGTGGGGGGAGTTTGGGGTACAGGGGAATAGGGTGGGAACACAGCACAGAGTGGGGAGAGTTTGGGGTACAGGGGAATAGGGTGGGAACACAGCACGGAGAGTGGGGGGAGAGTTTGGGGTACAAAGGAGGAGGGTGGGGGCAGGGCTGGCGGGGGGGGGCAAGTGGGGCAATTTGCCCCGGGCCCTGCAGGGGCCCCCACAAGAATATAGTATTCTATAGTATTGCAACTTTTTTTAGGGAAGGGGCCCCTCAAATTGCTTTGCCCCAGGCCCCCTGAATCCTCTGGGCAGCCCTGGGTGGGGGAGAATTTGTGGTACAGAGGAGGAGGGTGGGGGTACAGCACAGAAAGTGCTGGGAGAGTTTGAGGTACAGAGGAGGAGGAACATGGCACAGGCTCAGAATGTTTCACCTCTGGTGCTCGGAGCTGTGCTTGCTCCATGTCCCAGGCCTGTCAGCTGCTCCCAAGCATCTTCACAGGGTCTGACCTAAAGCCCACTCACCATAATGTGCATCTCAACTATTTCACTGATGAGTTGAAAAGCCACAAACCCCCCATGCCACCCCCATCACTTCACAGGCTAGAAGGGCCCATTCTGACCATCTAGTCCAGTGGTTCTTAACCTGGGGTGCACGCAGCCCCTGGGGGTGCAAGATGCCCTTTCTGGGGGTGTGAGACATGCCAGATTTTTTTAGAAGGTAAATAATTGAAAACACAAATTAAGCATAAGCACGTAAGTACAACTACTTTGTTTCATCAAACCTATGTATTTATTAACATTATACTTTTTTTTAATGATTACTGTGTTAAATTTTAACTGTGAAATTAAAATAAATATATAATTCTCTCTCTTTCATTCTATAGTTAGGATATATCTAGGTTAAAAGAACTGACCTACTTCAATGATTTTTGATAAGGGGTGCGCAAACATATTTTTGAGAACCAAAGGGGTGCAGGCTGCAGTAAAGGTTAAGAACCACTGATGTAGTCAGATGACTTGCATAGCCCAGGGAGAGAACCTGACCCAGGCCCATAGCATGTAGTTAAACAAGAGTGTATATTCTAGAAAGAAAGAATCCAGTGGTGGTTTAAAGACTGAAAGTGATGGAGAATCTCCCATGTGCCTAAGTAACTGTTAAAAATTTGCACCTTATTTCCAGCTTGAACTTTGCTGACTTCAGCTCCTAACCAGTGTGCTTTGGTATGTGTGTGTAGGTTCTGTTATAGGTTGGGTTAAACCTTGAAACTGGTGAATGTGACAGCTGCTCTTCATTGCAGGTTGATTGTAAGGAACAGTTAAGCTCTTTTATGGAAGCAACAGAGGGTCCTGTGGCACCTTTAAGACTAACAGATGTATTGGAGCATAAGCTTTCGTGGGTGAATGCCCACTTTGTCAGACGCACATAATGGAAATTTCCAGAGGCAGGTATAAATATGCAGGCAAGAATCAGTATGGAGATAACGAGTATCAGAGGGGTAGCCGTGTTAGTCTGAATCTGTAAAAAGCAACAGAGGGTCCTGTGGCACCTTTAAGACTAACAGAAGTATTGGGAGCATAAGCTTTCGTGGGTAAGATAACGAGGTTAGTTCAATCAGGGAGGGTGAGGTCCTCTGCTAGCAGTTGAGGTGTGAACACCAAGGGAGGAGAAACTGCTTCTGTAGTTGGATAGCCATTCACAGTCTTTGTCAAATCCTGATCTGATGGTGTCAAATTTGCAAATGAACTGAAGCTCAGCAGTTTCTCTTTGGAGTCTGGTCCTGAAGTTTTTTTGCTGTAAGATGGCTACCTTTACATCTGCTATTGTGTGGCCAGGGAGGTTGAAGTGTTCTCCTACAGGTTTTTGTATATTGCCATTCCTGATATCTGACTTCTGTCCATTTATCTTTTTATGTAGTGACTGTCCAGTTTGGCCAATGTACATAGCAGAGGGGCATTGCTGGCACATGATGGCACATATAACATTGGTGGACGTGCAGGTGAATGAACCGGTGATGTTGTAGCTGATCTGGTTAGGTCCTGTGATGGTGTTGCTGGTGTAGATATGTGGGCAGAGTTGGCATTGAGGTTTGTTGCATGGATTGGTTCCTGAGTTAGAGTTGTTGTTATGGTGCGGTGAGTGGTTGCTGGTGAGAATATGTTTAAGGTTGGCGGGTTGTCTGTGGGCGAGGACTGGCCTGCCTCCCGAGGTCTGTGAAAGCAAGGGATCATTGTCCAGGATGGGTTGTAGATCACTGATGATGCGTTGGAGAGGTTTAAGCTGAGGACTGTAGGTGATGGCCAGTGAAGTTCTGTTGGTTTCTTTCTTGGGCTTGTCTTGTAACAGGAGGCTTCTGGGTACACGTCTGGACAGTCACTACGTAAGAGGATAAATGGACACAAGTCAGATATCAGGAATGGCAATATACAAAAACCTGTAGGAGAACACTTCAACCTCCCTGGCCACACAATAGCAGATGTAAAGGTAGCCATTTTACAGCAAAAAAACTTCAGGACCAGACTCCAAAGAGAAACTGCTGAGCTTCAGTTCATTTGCAAATTTGACACCATCAGATAGGATTCAACAAAGACTGTGAATGGCTATCCAACTACAGAAGCAGTTTCTCCTCCCTTGGTGTTCACACCTCAACTGCTAGCAGAGGACCTCACCCTCCCTGATTGAACTAACCTCATTATCTCCATACTGATTCTTGCCTGCATATTTATACCTGCCTCTGGAAATTTCCATTATGTGCGTCTGACAAAGTGGGCATTCACCCACGAAAGCTTATGCTCCAATACATCTGTTAGTCTTAAAGGTGCAACAGGGCCCTCTGTTGCTTTTTACAGATCCAGACTAACACGGCTACCCCTCTGATTTATGGAAGCAGATAGCTGAAACAATAGCAGCCTCCACTGAAAACACAGGTACAGGCAAGGCACATGTGGGTGGGGTTTGACTGGTTATGGTTTGGTGGAGGTGTGCATGTCTGTCTCCATGTGAGAGAAGCATAAGAGAGGCCAGAGAAGCAGAGAGAAGGCAGCAAGGAAGCACCCAGCAACACAGAAGCACGGTGAGAGAGCGCTTTTGGGTTGAGTGTTGGCTAGAAAGGGGCTTGGAGCTGTGAGCAAACACTGTGGGCTAGTCTACACTGGCAATGTTAGAAGTACTGCCATGGCAGTGCTTTAACATGGCTTGTGTAGTCACGGCACACAAGGAGCGGTTCCCAGCGCTGGTGCACTGTCTACACTGGCGCTTTACAGCACTGAAACTTGCTGTGCTCAGGGGGGTGTTTTTTCACACCCCTGAGTGAGAAAGTTGCAGCACTGTTAAGTGCCAGTGTAGACAAGCCCTTAGTTGCTTAGTTCAAGGAAACAGAACTCTGTACATTCTTTATAAATGAACAGGATTGCATCAAAGATTCTTGGTTCCATTGTCAATTCCTGCCCCTCGCTGAAACAACCGGCATTATCTTGGAGCTCGGCTAACCGTGTTGGTCAAATAGGGGTGAGAGTACTTATAGACCATGATTAAATCACATCTTAACCTCTTTAGTAAGATAAATATGCTGAGCTCTCTCTAGGCCAGTGGTTCTCAACTTATTTATCATTGTGGGCTGCAGGTTGAGAACCCCACACACACACCTCCACGTCCCCCTACAGACCCCTATGCCCAACGCTTTGGCCCCTCCACAGAGTGGGGCCAGGAGCAGACCTCAGGCATGGGGCCACAGGGCAGCCCCTACCCCCCGACCCTGCCACACAGCAGCCCTGATCCTGGATCTCGCCGGGTGGGGGTCAGGCAGCAGGGGAGCCTGGACCCTGCTGAGCAGGGAAGCGCAGCCCTGAGCCCGCACGGCAAGGCATTGCAGCCCTGAATCCAGACAGCTGGGAGGGTAGGACAGGGCAGCCCCAACCTTGGACTCTGCCATGTGGGGCGGGGCAGGGCAGCCAGGATGCTGCCACGCCTTTAGCACACAGCTAGGCCGCAGCTGTGTGCTAATTGGGCCACGTGTGGCCCACGGGTTGAGTACCACTGCTCTAGGCCCTAGTTCAGCAAGTACTTATGCACTTGCCTGACTTTGAGCACAGGAATAACCCTATTGACTTCCCTAGTGCTGACATGCTTGGAGTTAGGCACTTTCTTAATACCTTGCTGTACCGGGGAGTGTGATTCTGGCTTGGGGTAGCAGGGTCTCAGTCTTGCTCCACTTCCATCACGGGGCCCCGTCAACTTAAAAATCACTTAAACACGCATCTCACCTGCTCTTTTTACAAGCATTACCAAAGGCCTTGATGCTGCAAGCACTGGCACTCTTGGCTCTAGGTTTTTTGCTGCCCCAAGCAAAAAAATTTTTGGCTGCCCCCCCCCCCCGCCCCGGGCCCCCCCCCCCCCCCCACCAGTGCCGTCCCCCACTTGCACCCCCTGCCGCCCCAGCCGTGGGCTTCCCCCCGCCAAACGTGACCTCCTCGTTCACCACAACAATCCCCGTTTACACTTGCAGTGGGGATCAAACCGTTTCTCGTATTTTTATTTCACTTTAGTATAAATATCGCCCCCCCTGTCCCCCGCAACCCCATTTGTAGTGCTCCAAATGCACATGGAAGGTATAGGGACTAACTCTCAAACCTTGTACCCGGAAAGGGATGGGGATCTAGTAAAGAGGGTGCAGGCAGAGGAGCAGGTGTGGGGGTGCTTGGGTGCTCTCCGCTGGCAGAGAAGCAGGGTGTGATGTACTCACGGAGGAGAGGGGGTATCAGGAGGGTTGCGGGAGAAGAGGTGTGGGAGGAGAGGGCTGGGGGAGGGTACAAGGGGAGAGGTGCAGGTGAAGGGAGAGTACAAGGGGAAGGGTTTCAGCGAAGGAGGAA